TGGTCCTGAAATTCACATTTGTTAGGAAAAAATTTTGAGACACAAACATTATCTTGACATTGTTTGGAAACAGAGATGAGATTGAAACGGAAAGTAGGAACAAACAAGACATTATGAAGGATTAAATTTGATTGAGATGAACAGTTCCTAATTGGGTGGCTGGTGCATGTGTACCATTGGGCATGCGGACTGAGGTGTAGGGTATAGGGGATGTGTGGGAAAAATGTTTGGGATTGCAAATGATGTGGTCACTGGCCCCTTAATCAATTATCCAAAAATCTTCTTTGGTGATATTAAAACAAAAAGATGTACCTGCATAGGATATTGTATTGACTTGATTGGCAGTGGCTGATCCAGACCATTGATTTGGTTGCGGCCATGTAGTTTCCAACACATGTCTCTCGTGTGATTCCTCTTTTTGCAAAAATCGCAATAACGATTTTTGTTGGACTTGAATGGCCCATGAGAGGAATTAAAATTGGTGGAGTGGATTGGGCTATTTCCCGGATTTGGGCCAACTGCAAAATTTGGGACGCTTCTAGGATTTGGGCTAGGAGCAAAAGTTGAGCCCAAACCATTATTAAGCCCAGTTGAGTGTGAGCCATTGGATGAAGAGGAGTGATCCGAGCTGTTAATGCCTCCATATAAAAGGTGGCTTTCCCTGTCAGTGTGCCTTAGCCGCCCTTTTCATTTCCATTTTTCATCTTAGTCTGCTGCCGTTGGGGATGGACCGCAAAAGCCGCAGCTTTAGTGCTAGGTTGGGTTTTAGACGAAGCCGATCTCTAGCTTTCGTCTTGCACGGCCAGTTGGTAGGTGCGTTGGAGAGATGATGCTAGTGACGTAGCCAACATCTGGGTTCGAAAAGCCAAAAAACAGTCATTCAAACCAAGCAAAAAATTTACTAACCTGTTTTGATCTTTCAGGTGCTGGATCTGGTGAAGAATCGTGGAGGGCCCTTCAATCGATTCTTCAACAACATCGAGCTCGTTCCAAATCGTCGAAAGTCGATTGAAATATACTATGACTGGTAGGTTGTGTTGTTTGATTTCAAGGAGATTTTTATGCAAAGTAAAGATCTTTGCAAGATCGAGTTGGCCGTACATCTCTCGGATGTTTGTCCACATTTCATGTGCATTTTCTATCTGAGGCAAGCCGGCAGCAATCTCATGGGTCAGGGAGTTGCTGATCCAGGCGCGAACGAGGGTATTGCACCAGATCTAGTGTTGGATCAGATGTGGTTCAGTGGGTTGGGGAAGGGTTCCATCGATGAACCCTTCCTTATTTTTGGTTACCAGAGCTCGTTGGAAATCTCTGGCCCAAGTGGCATAATTTTGTGAGTCGGTTAATGGCTGTTTGACGAGCACAAGTTCAGAGCCATCGGAAACCAGCGAGAAAAGGGGATCCCCTGGTTCCGGTCGACCTGTGGAGGCTGGTGTAACACCCAACATTGAGCTACATGATTTAAATTATGTTGTATAGCCCTTAGTTAAATTTTGTTAGAATTATTTTAAGAGAATATGAAGAAAATGCCTTAAATTTGCATTAAGGGTAAAATAGTCTTTTCACTCAAAACTAGTTGATTTTGTGGGGAGTGAAAAGAGATAGAAAATCATAGAGAATTCAATAAAAGTGAAGGCATTTTGGTAATTGACTAAGGGACAAAGATAGAATTTTAGGAAAGAGTAAGGGCAAAATGGGAAAGTGAGTTTATAAACTAAATGTTAAGGGTTTGAAACCCTTATTTCGTTCTACCACCCCCACACTCCTCCTCCTTTTTTTCTCAAATTTCATTCACTTTTCCAAGGAATTTGAGGGCTTTTGAGTAGATTTTCAGGGTTTTGATTCAAGGCATCAAAAGGTAAGGATTCATCTTTATCTATGATTTATTTGTGTAAAAGTTGAGTTCTTATGAAGTTATGCTTAGGGTTAAGAGAAGATTGGAACAACAAGAGTAGGAGTGTTAGGAGAGACTACTCAAGCACAAGGTAAGTAATTCCACTCAAAATCCAACTCAAGCTAAAATTTAAGAATTCAAGTGAGTAGAGATTTATTTTAAATATGCATATGTGTGATTATTGAGAAATTGAGATGAGATGTATGAGGTATTATGCTTATGTGTTGGATATATTTGAATATGAGAAGTATATGTGATGATTTGATGATGGGTTGAAATTGGAAGATTGGAGAAATTTTTTTGGGAGTGGTTTGCATGTAGGTATGTGATGCTACAAGAGAGTTTTCTCTCATTTTGGATGGTTGAGAAATCAATAGAATGATAATGAATTAGGGTTTGTTTGTGACAACTAATGTTTGATGAAATGTCTAAGTGAAAACATGTTACTAAACTGCCTGTCACAGTTGTGCTTTCTAAGTGATTTTGGGCATCTTACGGAACCAAAACATAAAAGTTGTAGCCCTATCTCTAAGCGTTAAAACAAGACCAAAACCGTATCAATCAGATGTGTATAACTCAAGTTATGTCTTCTTGAGTGTGACCTGTGCAGAATGACTATCTTGATGCAATATTGCATTTGTGCATTTCATAAGTGCATTAAGTAGAAACTTTAAGCACGAACCATCCATGCATTAATTGTGCATTAAGAATTAGGTTGAGAAAGAGTAGAGAACTTTGTGAATGAGCTACTTAAAAGTAAGAGAATGAGAAAAATCTAAGAATGGGTTAGTGCTTTGTGAACTCCACCCGGAAGTCACGAAGAGTGGGTTGGTGGGCTTTGTGAACTCCACCCGGCCGTGCCTCCGGTAGATGAGGCCGTGACATTCAAGTTGAAAGAATGAGAAAATATGAGAAGGAAAAGAGGAACAGAATGAGTAGAAGTCACAAAGAGTGGGTGGGTGCTTTGTGATCTCCACTCAGCCATGCCTCCGGTAAGATGAGGGTGTGACATACAACAGAAAGTTAATAGAAAAGAGAGTATGTGAAAGAGGAATAGAAAAAGAAAAAAAATGAGAGGAGAAGAGTGTAAGGAAAGAATTAGAGAAAGAGTTACGGGGATAGACGAGTAGAGGATTTACTTACTGAGCATTATTTTGTGCTCACCCCGTTGTTATCTTTGTGTTTGCAGGATCTAGGTGAGGACGCGGTCGGATGGGCATTGGCAAGCGAGGGGCAATAGCTACATTGTCCACTGTTTTTGATAACTTTTACAAATGATACCTACTTTGTATAAAGAATGATTTATGTATTAAAAGAAATTTCGGGCCCATTTACTTTTGCTAATATAAAGCATTTTACTTTATGTATTTCTATGAGTAACCTAGTATAAAGCAGTTATTACAGCTGGGAGGATTTGGAAAACGGGTAGGGATTATAACCCGGCGAGTAAGGATTTTGACCCGTCGGGTTAGGGTTTTGACCATAAACCTGAATGGAAATGGGCCAGGGTGAAAATGAAGGGGTTGTTGTTAGGCTCTGGTGGATGATTTGGACAGTGTGGGATTTGGGCCTGTTGGAGTTCGGTTGTGTGGGCGTCATTTGTGGCTGTGGATTCTGAGTCTGGTTCATTGGTGTTTGGTTGAATCCATTCTGTGATGTTTGGAAAAAAAAAAAAAAAAAAAAACTAATCTTATGGCCTTGTTTTGTAGGTTTAGAGAAACAATGGCTTAGAGAGGATTGTAGCGGAAGCAAAGGTTGAGCTCTGATACCATGTCAGAGTTAGAGATTGAAGGTGGCAAAAGGGGCAGAAGACTGCCGAATAATGCCTACAAAGAGAGCTTGATAAAAGGGCAGAAATAAAGACCAAAGAATATCAAGCAAGAGAGAATTGTAATTGTAATTGTATATTGTATATTGTAACGAGTACATGAGCCAATTTATACATTGGCTTTGAATACAATAAAGGTAATGAAATAATACAGTAAAGGAAATGCAATAAACAAAATATTACAATGATCAATTAAATAATTGTAACTCAACAATTGCTCGATTCCAGCATAAATATCTTCAGCATTCCATATTTCATCAAATTTCATGAAAAAATGTATGTGTTGGAGCCAACCCAACCTTGAGTTACCATGTGTAAGAAATGATAAATCTTTTTGCTTTTGGTATACTTAGTCGGTTGTCAAACATTTGATTCACTAGGCTCGCTTTTTTAAAGAAGCTGACTAGTTTCATGAAACCCATATATATCAGAAAACAACACTTACACACTTATGTTTATCGATGTTAGGGAAAACTCACCATTTAAAGGATAAAATTGGACTATTTCAAAGGGTATTATGTCAATCAAGCTATGACAAACTGATTCTGATTGAAGCTGCGTGACCAACTATTTATCACCCAGTTCAGTGACAACGTTGTAATATGACCATAAGTATAGTCAGATCTCACTGCAAAGTCACAATTACAGTTAAATCTGGCCACCATTGCTGTAGAACATTCCACACTTTGTGATATTTAAGGGGTCTATTAGTCTATATTCGCAGTGTTAGTCACTAAATCTGACCAGCGACCGACAATTATAGTTATAGGGGTGTTAATATAACTTTTGAAAATATACGGATCTCAAAATTACAAGGTGACACTACAAAACCCCATCCATAATTATATAATGTAATCATTATATAATGTTTGAAATAGTAACATTATCCAGTCAGGTTTATAATTTAATTTTCTCCGCCTAGGATAGACTTTTTGATGGTGGGTGGGCTAGGTGGACCTAGTACTAGAAGTGCTTGTAAAATGTCGGCAAAAGATGTATCACTTCACCTTCTCCGCATACATAAAGCAAAGCCGTGTCTTACTCTTTTCATTATCCTGAAAAAAACATGCAATTTTTTTTTATTTTTTTTTTATAGTTATTTTCATTCCTACAACTGTCCACAGCTCAGCAGATTGAACCTTCCCATGACCTTCCTCTTCTCCTCTTCACAGGCCTGGTTGTTTTACTATAAATACAACCCATCATTCTCAACACATTCATCGCTTCACTTTCACAATAAAAAGTTCACTCGGTTTCATTATATGATTAGATCCCCCCTCAAGGTGGTGGGTGATGAATATCAAGCACCCCCAACTTGGACAATAAATGGCGATGAAGAGAAGGAGGAACAGCCTTAGTAAACAAATCAGTAGGCTGCTCTTGTGTTGGAACATGGACAGGATGCACCAAACCCTCTTTAAACTTTGTATGAACGATGTGGCAATCAATATCGACGTGCTTCGTCCGTTCATGGAACATAGGATTGGAAGCAATGTGAATGCCTGATTGATTGTCACAGCCAAGGGAAATGGGCAACTGTAGTGAGAAACCAAGGTCATGCAGAAGCTGAGTAAGCCAAATAATTTCACAAACTGTGGATGCCATGGCACGATATTCAGCTTCAGAGGATGATCTAGAAACCGTAACTTGACATTTAGATTTCCAGGACAACAAAGAATTTCCCAAGAAAATGCAGAAACTAGTCACTGATTTACGAGTCATAAGGCAAGAAGCCCAATCAGAGTCACAAAATGCTTGAAGATGCAAGGAGCCATGTGCTGGGAAAAATAAACCCAAACCTGGAGACCCTTTCACATATCTGACTATCTTGAGGGCAGCATGTAGATGTGATTGTTTAGGTTTGTGCATAAATTGGCTGAGGAGGTTTACTGCAAAACTGAGATCAGGCCTGGTGAGACACAAATAAAGCAATTTTCCAATCAATTTTTGATATACCGAATGATCAACTAAGGCTGGATCCTGTTGGCCAGGAAAGGCCACATCATACTCAACATTGGTGAAGTTTAGATGAGGATCAAGAGGAACCAAAGCTGGTTTGGCAGCAGCTAATCCTAAATCAGCTATCAATTCCAAAGCATATTTCCTTTGACATAGACTTATACCTTTGGAGGATCGAGCAACTTCAAAACCTAAAAAATATCTAAGAGAGACTAAGTCCTTTAGCTTGAAATGAGAATGTAAGAGATCCTTAGTAGCTTGAATTAGGGAACTGTCACTGCCAGTGAGGACCAAGTCATCAACATACACAAGTAAGATAACAATGTGCCCATTATGTTTCTTAAAAAAGAAGGAGTGATCCGATGGGGATTGTTGAAAACCACCTATCAACAAGGCATTTGTGAGCTTAGTATTCCAGGCCCTGGAGGCTTGTTTTAAGCCATATAAGGACTTGTGAAGTTTACAAACTAAGGACTTGTCAGGTTGCTTGGAGAAACTGTAACACTTGCTCTCAACTACTATTCTTATAGTTCATACTATGTAAAATATAGAGATGTATATCATATGAAAGATAGTGGGCTCAAATTTTTCTTTACTCATAAAATATAATTCTTGACAAATACAAAATACTATGTGTTAAAAACTTTCTAATTAATACAAAATATCATGACTGGTGGACAGTGGTGCCAATACTCTTCGCTCCTCGACGTCCATCCGACCGTTGCTCTTATTTCTTGCAAAACAGAGAAGAACAACGGGGTGAGCACAACACTTGCTCAGTAATAAATCCTCTACTACCTGTCCCCCAACTCACTCTTGGTTCTTTCCTTACTCTATCTTTCTTCTATTTCTTTTTCTCATTGATCCTCTCTTTCTTTCTAATACTTTTATTCTCCTTTACTCTGTTCTGCTCTTTTTATTCTTTCTTTCTCTCTGTTCTTATTCTCTTTTCTCCTCTCTTATTCTTACTCACCATGAAGGACAATCATGGTTCTCTCTTATTCTCATCATACTCACCATGAAGGGAAATCATGGTTCTCTCTCCTCTCTTATTCTCGTCATCTCACCATGAAGGAAAAATCATGGTTCTCTCTCTTATTCTTGTTACTACTCACTAACCATGGAAGAACTCATGGTACTGCATGTATGAGAGGTACAGCAATAATGCAAAAGATTGCATGTTTCTTTCTTTTACTCTCTATTCTTGCTAACTCAAATCTCTCATCCTTTCTCTTTCTCTCTCTTTCTATCTCATTCTTTCTCAAGCTTTCTCATTCTTCTCAAGCTTTCTCATTCTCTCATTCTTTAATTCTCTCTATTATCTCATTCTCATTTCTCATAATTCATTTATACTAACTCGCTCTTTAATGCACGGCCCCGTCTTACCGTAGTCACGGCCGGACTTCTCTCCTCTATGTGACTTCTACTGATTCTCTTTCTGTCTCTCTTCTAATATTTTTTTTCTGTTAACTTTCTGATGTAGTTACGGTCTCACTTATCGGAGGCACGGCTGGGTACTCATCCTACTCTTGTAACCCTACTCATTGTCTCTCTCTTATTCTTTCTCATGTTGCTCATCTTCCTCTTCTCCTTCCAAGCTAGTACTCATATATAGCTTAACTCTTAGCTTTTCTCATCTCTGTTCTCTTTCGTTTTTGTTTCATATCTTTGTTATACACCCTCTGGTGTATGTCACGACCTCATTTGACCGAGGCACGGCCGGAACTTAACCCCTTTTCGTGACTTTACTCTTTTCTCTTTCTGTTCTTTCCCATTCTTCTCATTAGAATGTCACGACCTCATCTGACCGGAGGCACGATTGGGCGTACCACTCTACGTGACTTCTACTCATTTCTCTACCGATCGGATTTGGTCATGCATGGATTCGAACCTTTGGCCTGTAGTGTACATGCTTTCTCTCTATCTCTCTCAAATGTCACGACCCCTTCTTACCGGAGGCACGGCTGGAACCTCATGTTGCACTCTACGTGACGGTCATGGCCTTATCTTCCCGGGCACGGCTGGGGATCAAAAAGCACCCACTCTCGTGACTCTACTCATCACTCACAGGTTCCCTATCGCACAACTTGCTCTATCCTCTTCTGTAGCACTTTTCTCTCTTTTATTCACTAGTGCTCAACTCTCTTTCTCTTTACTATCAGAGTGTTCTCATGCTCTTTACTCTTAAGAGTTGCTATTCTCAACATTCTCTACTCTATCTCACTCGAACCATTACTCTAGTATAGCTTATACTCAAAATTCTATACTCTAGTACTCATAAGTAGCTCTCATACTCAACTTCTCTATTCGTTCTCAAGCTACGTCTGAATGCACAATTAATACATATGTATGTTCTACTCATTAATGCACTTTGAAATGCCAAATCATATTGCATCAAAACAGTCATTCTGCTAGGTCACACTAAAATGGCATACTTGCGTTTAACCTCGGATTGCTACGGTTTTGGTCTCGTTTTAAAGCTTAGAGATAGGGCTACAACTTTTATGTTTTGGTCTCAGCCCAGTTCAATCCGTAAATGCCCAAATCACTTAGAAAGTCACGGCTGTGACAGGGCAATTTCACTTAGGCATTTCATCAAGCAACTCATGTGCATACAAAAACTCTTCTCTAAATACCACTCTCCTTCTCTTTTAACCATCCAAAATGGGAAGAAACTCCCTTCTATGGACATGGTTCCTATCATAGAAGAACACTCCCAAAATATCTACTCAATCTCCTCCAACTTCATCTCAGACTCATCACACATCAACACTTCCCAGGAAATATCCAACACATAACATAAATACCCTCTCACTCAATTCCTCAACAAATGACATACATCTCTACTCAATTTCTCAATAAGCACATATATACATGCATAAATAAATCTCTACTTAAGAATTTCTTAAACTTTAGCTTGAGTTGGATTTACTTACCTCATCTTAGTAGTCTCCACTAAAGCTCTCTACTCTTGTTGGATCATAGCTTCTCTCTTATTTCCTAAGCATAAACTAGTAAGAACTTACCTTTACATAAATAAAACTCATCTCTAGAGTAGGGATTCTTACCTCTTCTTACAGGATCACTTCTTTGTCAAATTCCACCTCAAACTCTTACAAATCCCTTGGAAGATTGAGTGAGGAAATTGAGAGAAAATGGGAGATGAAGAGGCGGTGGAAATGTTGAAAATGATGGGTTTAGGAACTTAACCCTATTAGCTCTAAATATACACTCTTTCCCATTTTGCCCTTACTCTTTCTTGAAAATTCCATCTTTATCCTTTAATTCTTTACAAACTCACCCCCATTTTACACTATTCTCCATGAAATTTCTGTATATTTTACTCCCACTACTTTTCCTGCTAATTAGGGGTAGAATGGTCATTTTACCCCTATGGAGAATTCTCTAAAACTCAAGAAACTTTTCTCCTCTCCGTCGCAGCGGCGAAGAACTCCGTCACCACTGGCGAAACATTCCAAACCGACACCGCCCAACACAAAACCAACATCACCGCGCGAAGCTTCTCCGTTGCCCCGATGACGACTGCAACTCCAAATCGTGCAAGTCTTGATCAATTCCATGGTACACACTCAACCAAACCCAAACAATCAACTCAACCAACCAACCAACACACATAACAATATTAAACTCATTTAGGTAATTCAGTAATCCTTTAGGCCATACCTTAAACAGTGCTACACTTTCAAGTGGGGTGTTACAGAAACCTTGTGCAAATTCATTTATATTCCTCTTGAGATCTCCTTGTAAGAAGGCATTATCAACATCTAAATGAAAAGGGGCCAATCTTTCATGGATGCAATGGCTAAGACTACCCTCACTGTCACCATCTTTACTACAGGAGAAATATGTCTCCTCATAATCATTCTAGCCTGCTGATAAACCTTTGCCACTAACCTGGCCTTATACCTTCCCAAGTCCCATCAGCATTAACTTAGCTTATACACCCATTTACACCCTATTGGATTCTTACCAGGAGGCAGGGGAACTAGAGACCAAGTCCCATTTCTTTCCAAAGCTTGAATTTCCTGTTGCATAGCTTTAACCAATTGGGATCTTTGGATGCTTGGGTAAAGGATGTGGGTTCAATGATAGTAGAAATACTGGACATACACTTTTGGTAGCAGAAGAAAGATTAGTATAGCAATGTAATTTCAGGATAGTGACTAGAGGGTCTGATTTGACTTGGATAAAGTAGGCACACAAAAATCAGTGGTCCAAATGGGGGTTTAGTGGGTCTACTGGACTTTCTAATGTGATTGTGAGAAGGAAGGATATTAGGGGCGCAGAGTGTAAATGGAAACTGGAGAACTAGGTGTAGTTGGTTCTGTCTCATGAAGATCATTTGTAGATTTGTATGCAAAATTGAATCAGAGGATGTAGTTACTTCTTCTTCCATGAAAGTTTCAAGAAAGGTAAGGGAGGTTTAGTGGACTGATGAAAAGAAAAGGAAAAATGTGCTCATGAAATATAACATCTCGATTGACACATACTGTTTGGAGTACAAATTATATAGTATATAGCCCTTCTTGGTGAAGAATAGCCAAGAAAGACACAAGGAATGGATCTTGGAGCAAACTTATCCTGGATAGGCAGATTTGTAGCAATGCCAAACAGCCAAAAACTTTCAAATGTTCTAACTTAGGCTTGTGACCATAAAATTTTTCAAAAGGGGAAAACCTTCAAAACTTTGGTAGGCAGTCTATTAATAATATAGACAGCAGCTTTGACTGCATAGCCCTATAAGTAATCTGGAATATGAGATTGAACTTAAAGGCTCTAGCCATGTTAAGAATGTGTCTAGCTTGCGTTCTACTACTCCTTTTGCTGTGGGGTGTAGACACAAGTGCTTTGATGTACAATGCCTAGCTAGACAATAAATCATGACATTGTTGGTTGAAAAATTCCAATCCATTGTCAGTTCTAATTATTTTAGGTGTTTGACTGTATTGATTTTGGCACAAGCAGAAAGTTTTTTAAGGTTTGAAAGACATCAGATTTATTGCATAAGAAAGATCCAAGTGGTCCTAGTAAAATCATCAACAATCATAAAAAAAACCTTGCATTACCCTGGTTGCAACTCTAAGGGCCCCAAACATCTAAATGCAGCAGTTCAAAAACATGTGATGTTTGTTGTTTCACTTAAAGCAAAGGGTAATCTAGTTTGTTAGCTAAGGGACAAACATCACAATGAAACTTGTGGTCCATTAAGCCCATGATGTAAGGTTTGTAGAATTGGCAAAGATGCATGCCTAACCTTCTATGCTAGAGAACAATATCTTTAGCTTTGACCTTCGATCCTGACTTCCCTTTTAAACTGGAAATCTGCAAGATAGCCCCCCCCCTATGCAATTTGTAACAAGTATCCCTTTTATGCCCAGCAATATGACAATAGTCACATTCTATGTAGGGTTTCTTCCCTTTGTATTTCGAATTTTGAGGTTGATTCCTTTGATTCCCTTGTGAGTACAGTGCTATAGTAACTTCAATATTATGATTGAATCCAGTCAATACCTTCTGACTCTCATCTTGACTCACTATTGAATAAGTCTGTTTAACTGATGGTAGAAGAACCATCAACAAAATCTGACTTCGCACCAAGGCATATGATTCATTAAGTCCCATGAGGAATTGTAATAGCTTTTGTTGGTTGAGATGAGCCAAATAAGCCTTGGCTGACTCACTATCTAGTGGCGACAGACTCACCAATGAACTCAGTTCATCCCACAGAGTTTTCAATTTGTTGTAATAAACTGCAACTGTACTTGTTCCTTGTACCAAATTAGCTACCTCTCAGTGAATAACAAACACTCTCGTACCATTGACTTTATTGTATTGTTCTTGAAGATCTTGCTAGACCTGATGAGCACTGGTAGAGTACACAATATTGTTGAATATCTCCTTCGACACAGTGTTGAAAATCCATACCAAAACTAAGGAGTTACAGCGTTCCCATTGTACATGCAAAGACTCATTGAATTTTGACTTCTCACAAGATCCGTCAACAAAGCCCAATTTGTTCTTCGCCCTTAGAGAGATTGTCATCGCACGACTCCATATCCCATAATTTTCTGTTCCAGTAAGTTGTTCTGGAATCAGAGTTGAACCTGGGGTGTCCGACGGATGAATGTAGAGAGGAGAACCCGAGTCCGTAACATTCGACATCTAGAATCGATTGACTTTAAGGTATGTGTAGAAATCAAGCTAATCAAGAACCGATTTAGCAGAAAATCAGCTTAATCAAGGACGAAATTTGTTGATGAAGATAGAAGAAATCAACTTGGCATAAAACCTATTTTAATCAAGGAAGAAATTGACGATGACAAGGAAGAAATTGATGACGACGATCAACCGGTCTTGAAGGATGATACAAATACAGCTTCTATTTGAGCTTGATTCTTCAATTGAAAGATTGTAAATTCCGCAGCTTAAAACACTGCTCTGATACCATGTTCGAGTCTGTTTCAGAGAGAAAGTAAAGTGAATTTCTTTTATTCAACTCAAAGGTTAACTGTACAAGAGTTATTTACAGTTGTATACAATCTGCAGTAACTATGGTTAAGTTAACCATAGTCAATTATTTCTAACTAAACCATAACAGCATTCTAACTAACCATAACAGCAGTTAACTAACTATAAAACTAATTAACTACTTTGTTAACTAATTACAACAATTAATCAATAATCCAAGACAGTTCAATCAAAGCTTCTATGGCATCAATGTTGCATTTGTTTCTTCTGCTTAGTTGTTTCATGGTTGCTGCTACCGGTAGCTTGAACGAAAATTTTGATATCACTTGGGGAGATGGCCGTGCTAAGATGCTTAACAATGGAGAGCTACTAACTTTGTCTCTTGATAAAGCCTCTGGCTCTGGCTTCCAATCCAAGAATGAGTATTTATTTGGAAAGATTGATATGCAAATCAAGCTTGTCGCTGGGAATTCTGCTGGCACTGTCGCTGCTTACTATGTAAATTCATAGTTCATCAACTATATTAAATACACCTTTAGTTTCTATATATAGAAGTTTAATGTTGCTAACTTTTATGTATTATTTGCAGTTATCCTCAAAAGGGTCTACATGGGATGAGATAGACTTCGAGTTCTTGGGAAATTTGAGTTGTGATCCTTACATTCTTCACACCAATGTGTTCAGCCAAGGAAAGGGCAACAGAGAACAACAATTCTATCTCTGGTTCGACCCAACTGCTGATTTTCACACCTATTCCATTCTCTGGAATCCCAAGCGCATTGTGTGAGTATTATATTTCATTTCTTTCCTCTACTTAAATTCTATATTGTTTAGAATTGTTTTTCTTAATCTTCTTGTTTGTTACTCCCATAAGAGAGTTCAAGAACTCAGAGTCAATTGGTATTCCATTCCCAAAGAATCAGCCAATGAGAATATACTCTTCTCTCTGGAATGCTGATGACTGGGCTACTCGAGGTGGACTTGTGAAGACAGATTGGACTCAAGCTCCTTTCACTGCTTCCTACAGGAACTTCAAAGCTGATGCTTGTGTTTGGTCTAATGGAAAATCTTCTTGCACTTCAAACTCACCTTCTTCTTCGTCCTGGCTCTCCCAAGAACTTGATACAGCAGGTCAAGAGAGATTGAAATGGGTTCAGAAGAACTACATGATATACAATTACTGCAGTGCTACCAAGAGATTTCCCCAGGGCCTCCCGGCAGAATGCAGTTCCACCTCTTAGAGAAAAATTAAACCATCAGCACATATAATACATAAAGTCTTCTGTTATTTGTTATAGTCATTTGTATAGTATTTTTATCATGTACTTAATAGACTCCAATTTTTTTGTTCTTTTCAATCTTAGTATAAATAAAATGATCAACTTTGGCCATGCATCTTTTACTATGTATATAATAAATTAATAAGCGAAACTTTAAGGAATAAAGAGTATCAAAATCTTATTGTGCAGGAGGCGGGAATAGAAAGCTCGCCTTTCCAAAAATTTGGACATGTGGTGTCTTGGGAACAAGGTGTATTAAATGGCATAAACAGGTGTTTTAGCCTTGAAGTTTGAAATCATTTTTCTCCCTTTTTTATTATGCAACAAGAAACTGACATGGCAATTTGGAAAGTCAAACATTTATGGAGGAGTTTCTTACCTCTTTTAAGCCATTTTCTCTTCTTTCTGATTTCGTATTTTGCGAAAAAACTCTTTCTCCCTTATGTTTTTCTGACTAAGTTTTCCAGCCGTTTTTTCCAGGATAAACTTTATAATTTCTTTGCTTGGTTGTTTTCCATTTTTTTGCTATTCCAGGATTTCTGGTGTGTTGCAGTGAAACCCTACATAGTTTACACCATGCCATACGTGGAGGTGACCAGGTAGCGGGAAGTACTAGGGCTGGTACAGTTGATGGCAATGCGTCTTTTACTATGTATATAATAAGCTTACAAGTTACAACATTAAATTATAAGAGATTTTTTTCTTAGGGTGCGTTTTGGTTCGGGGAATGTTATATTATTGAGAAATATTGTATTACTGGAAAGATAGATTATTAGGGAATCTTTAGAGAAATGTGTTTAGTGGGTTGGAATAAATTGATAGGTATGTTATAATAATATGTTTGGTTGGGAGGATAAATGAGTAGGTATGTTATGTAGATTACTAAATTGCCTTCATTTTTAAATAATAATATAATATTATTTTTATTATTATTTTATTCTATTATTTTTTAAATTATTTTTTTAACCCTCCTATATTTGAAATTTTACTAAAACACCCCAATCATATACAACTTTAATTTATAACAAAATCACCCCCACTCACCCCAAGCCACCGCCGGCAGCCACCACCACCACCGGAAGCAGCCGTAATGGCGCACGACCAGCCGGATTTGGCTAGTCGTACGCCGATAAGGCCTAATCCAGCCAGATCTGGCCGTGAATATGGCCATTTCACGGCTAGATTTGGCCGTTAATATGGCCATTTCACGGCCAAAGATGTGGTCGTGAAACGGCCACAGATCTGGTCGCTTCCGGCCATGGATCACAAATCCATGGCCAGAAACGTCCTTATCGGCACACGACCGGCAAGATCCTGTCGGTTTTGTGCCGATATGATGAATTTTGCCGGCGGCCAACGGTGGTGGCTAGCGGCCGGTGGTGGTCTTTGATGGTTAGGGGTATTTTGTTAACTTTTAAACTTTTTTGTGGCGGGGGTGTTTTAGCTAAATTCTCAAATGTAGGGGGTCTGGGTAATTGTTATTTGGTAGACATATGAGAGCAAATATGTCCGAAATGATAAATTATTAACGGCAAAATAGGGTCAAAATTAAGATTACCTCGGTAATCTTATAATAACACCCTTTGGGAAGGTAATCTGATTACCCCCAATATTACCAATAGTAAACACTATTTGCAATAAAAGATTACGTAATATTTTATTACTTGACAACCAAATGAGGAAATCTTGAAAATTAAACAAAGATTACAGGATTAATCTTATATCACCCTGAACCAAACGCTACCTTAATGTAAAATCATTTGATCAAAGTTACATACCCTTAACATTTTTGTAGTTGAACAGATAAAGTTTCAGTCTTTGTGTGGACCAAAAATCGTATTAGACCTGACGAGGTTCAATAACGAAATAAACGTATTACAGTCCAATGCCTTAGCCTAATTCCAGTTGGGCCTACGCCTAAATCCATCTTGTGAACTGACCACTCAATGCGTTGAGTTATCCTATGAGTTAAGTTAAATCGGGTTCCAACCCATTAGCCCACAATAGTCCTAGAATAGAAATCAGAGTCCTATTTACTTTCCACTTTAGTCAAGATCTAGAATCTTACTTGAAGTGGTAAGCCTAATTCGATAAAGGCAAGTGATAAAACTTCCTAATTAAGACTCATCTACTAAGTAGGACTCAGAGTTCTACTAGGACTTCAACCTCTTAGATTCATTATATAAACAAGGGTCAAACCTCTTATTATGCATTCAAAAATCATAATAGCTTTATCTCCTGAATTCTTGCTCTCAAGAATCACTGTTTCCCCGCCGTAAAGCTTAGTTCCAACCATAATGCTTAGTTCCGAGTAACTTTACTACCCTCAGCCACTACAAAGTTGTGCTCCGGACACTTTGTGTTAGTCTAGCCCTGACCGTATTATTACGATAAACCCTTTCCGCTCTCAGCCATTACTAAATACCTACAACTATGCGGACTTGAGCATCGGAGTGCTTACGGCAGACACCACATCGATGTCACCCAACCACATGACCGATTATTTATCACCCAGATTCATTGTAAAGTCACAATTAGAGTTAAATTTGGCCATAATTCTTGCATAATTAATCTTGCCATGCTGTGTGATCTTTAAGGGATGTATTAGTCTATTTTTGAGATTCTGCATTAGTCGCTAAATTTGACTTAAGATTGTCAATTATAGGGGTGTTAGTGTAACTTTTGAAAACCTATGGATCTGAAAAGATAAAAGCGTCACTGCAAATTCTTAAACATTATCAATTAATGTTTAAAATAATAACATTATCCTTTGAGCTTTATAGTATACTTTTTCTCCTCGTAGGATAGATTTTTTGACGGTGGGTTGGCTAAGTGGACCTAGCAATAGTTGTGGTTGTAAAATGTCGGAGAAAGTATCACTTCACCTTCTCCTTCTCCGTAAAAATAATGGAAAGCCACGTCTTACTCATTTATTATCCTGGAACAAACATGCAAGTTTTATCTAACAATTTTTTTTCATTCCTATAACTGTCCACAGCTTAGCTGATAGTACCTTCCCAAGACTTTCCTTTTCTGACTTTCACAAGCCAAGGGTCAGTATAAATACGAGCCATGATGCTCAACACATTAATCGACTCACTTAGCAATTAAACACTTTACTCAGTTTCATTATATGATCAGTTCAATCAAAGCTTCTATGGCTTCAATGCTGCATTTGTTTCTTCTGATTGATTCTTTGATGGTTGCTTCTGCCGGTAGCTTGAACGGAAATTTTGATATCAATTGGGGAGATGGCCGTGCCAAGATGGTTAACGATGGGGAGCTTCTTACTCTGTCTCTGGATAAAGCCTCTGGCTCCGGCTTCCAGTCCAAGAATTAGTATTTATTTGGCAAGATTGATATGCAGCTCAAGCTTGTTGGTGGAAACTCTACAGGTATTGTCACTGCTTACTA